TTAAGCTTGTTTTGCAAAGATGGAAGGAACAAAAGCACATCAGATGCTTGGGATTTGCAAGTGCTCAGCAGGTGGATGTCAGATGCTGTTATCAGGAGTGGAGTCTACAGGAACACAGAATTGCTCTATGGTCACACACAGCACACCCAAGGTGACTGGCAGTGGCCATGGGGGGTCATATGACCCGTGGAGAGGATCAAAGGCCATGTGGGGGGGTGGGGGGGGAAATACTGTCACAGTAGGGGGCCTGAACACTGACTGGACTGTCCCTGAGCCTGACTGGTGTCCTCTCTGCCTGAGTAGCCCTGTTTTCTTGGCATGGATGGCTGCCTTGGATGGTGGGGCCCTCAAAACCAGCTGTGACAAGGGTAATACCTGAATAGGGGCCAGGGTGTGAGGGACAGGACAGGATCCTGAAACATGAGGTCAGCTCCTTTTTCTGAGGCCCCCAGCAAGCTGGGGGGCGCATAAGGAAGTGACATTAGGAGGCAGGAAGGCAGGACATTAGGAGCCATTACTTGCAGGCTTCCAAAGTGCCCAGGACTACCCACAAACCTCTGGACGAGCCTATATGGTGTAAATGACTCATCGCCTTTTCACTTGGGCTCAGAGAGGCGAGGTCACTTTCTCAAGATCACACAGCCAGCAAATGACAGAGCTGGGATTTGGAGCCAAGTCTGACTCCCCAATTCCATGCTCCTAACCATTACCCCACTGTCTGGCTAATGAGAATGCTATTGCCCTCGCTTCCAGTTGGTTAGATCACAGCAGGCACCTGGACCAAAGGCCAGTGGGATGTGTCATGCAGAATTCTCAGTGGAGCAACTTTAGACAAATACAGTATACTTAGAAGGCACCAGTGCTGAGGACCAACAGTTAGGAGTTCCACTACGGGATGCCTGGGTGGCTCAGTGGTTTGAGCGTCTGCCTTTGGCTCAGGGCGTGATCCTGGGGTCCTGCATCGGGCTCCCTACCGGAAGCCTGCTTCTCCCTCTGCCTATGCCTCTCTCTCTCTGTGTCTCTCATGAATAAATAAATAAAATCTTAAAAAAAAAAAAAAAAAGAGTGCCACTAACTTTCAGCTTGCATTTAATCCTCAATACCCCTATGAGGTTGGTTGCTTGGTCACTTGAGCCAAGGACCCCCACCCAGTGAATGAGGGTTGGAGTGGGGACACAGGGCCCAATCCCACTCTAGCCAGGGCCCCTGCACCACGGTTAGGAGGGAGGCACGAAACGGTTGGTATCAAAGGGGAAATGGGTGGAGTGCGCCCTCTGGTGGTGGGCACAACCGGCAGCGCCCACCAGGGCCTCGGAGTTGAATTCGGTTCCTTGTTCTGACATTTCCTAAAAGCGTGGCCTGGGCAAGTCATTTTACCTTCTAGAGTCTCAATTTCCCCATCTGTAAAACAGGAATAGTAATCGTGGGGACTTCTCGGGTAGCTGTGAGGATTTGGTAAAGCAAGTATTCACCGGTTATGGTTAACACACCACAGTGATAACCGAGAGCAGTGCCAAGGGAGTGATTCCTTCCTTTCCAGGGATGGGAAGGGAGCTGGAGTGCCCCCTTGGGGCCAGCTCACCAAGGGTAGGCAGGGTGGAGGGAGGGCACCATGGAAGCTTTAGAAAGTTATTTTGGGAACAAATCAAGAACCACCCTGTGATCTCATGCCACCTTCTCCCCTCCTTCCCTGGCCTCCTTTCTCTTCTTTCAAGGCCACTCAGCCAGGAAATGTCAGAGCAGTCTGCCTCCCACATCATGACTGTGACCACTTACCACCTCCTGGCTAATCTCCCCCAAACCCTGTCTTTCTCACTGTCTTCACTCCCCAGCTCAACAACCACCCATGGCTCTCCATGGTCCCCCAAGCTCACTGGCCACCATCCACCTTCAACCTACCTTCTCAAACTGCCTCTCCATCCCTGTCCTCCACTCACAGCAAGCCTGCAGGGATACACTTTGCATGTGCCAAGCACTGTGCCAGGCTCCAGCAGGCAGAAAGCTGAAGATGGGGCTTGTCATTGGATTCAGCCCAGCTGGTTTACTCACTGCCCACCTCTGGGGCCTCTGCCCAGGCTGGACCCCTAACTGAGAGGAATGTCTTCCCCCCTCCTTGGTTCTAACCCTCACACTATCCAAAGTTCGAAATGGCAGTAACCGGCTGCAGGAAACTTGCAGAGTCTGATCAATCTAACCATCTAAGGTTAGATCGCACCCCTAAGGATGGCTACAGTTTTAAAAGACAGATAAAAACAAGTGTTGGAGAGGATGTGGAGTAAATGGACCCCTTGTGCAGTGGTGAGAATGTAAAAGAATGCAGCTGCTTTGGAAAAGTTTGGCAGTTCCTCCAAATGCTAAATATGGGATTACCATATGACTGCTGAATAACTGTCCTGGTTAAGCCAGGAGCCTCTGCGCCCTGGCTCAGCCCTGTCCACACGGTTCCACCCTTCTCTGAGGAGCTCTGTGGTGGTTTCAGGCACAAGATGTCCCTGAAGCTAGCTTATTCTCCGTAGAATCCCGACTGCCTTTGGTGGATCAGGGCACGAGGTGTGCTCCTTGCCGCTGGGGTGTCCTTGCCCCTGGGACTTCTTAATTGGACAGAGGAAGGAAATGTGTATGTGGACTTCCATGCATAAAGTCTGAAAAGCCACGAGTTGAATGAAGCTGATACTCCCAATTCAGCCCACTGCCACAACAATCTTCCGAGGTTTCTAGCTTGCCATATTTGCATTTCTCGCAGTGCCAGACCTAGATCCCAAATCAGCAGTATATATATTCATTTACTTAATCCCACATACACAGAGAAAGTTTCAGAATACCACTTTGGAGAAACCAAACTCCAAACTCTCTGGACACAGAGTTTACAATTTGTTCAGTGCGGTTCTGTGATTTATTTGAAATAAGTCAGGTCTGTTTGTCTCTGTTTGCATTCCTCTTTATGGATTTCCCCCATAGTGTTGATTTGTATTTTTTTAAACTACACAAAATAGCAATACATTCACAAAATGGAAACAGAACAAAACACATTTCCAAAAGTCAAAACTATACAAAAAGAGAATGCTGTATGTTAATTATACTGGAATTTAAAAAAAGGAAACTACAAAAAGATATCCTCATAGACATGTCATTCTCTCTCGTCATGCTCCCACCCCTTTCTTGCCCACCTCCTTGGGGAACTAATATCATTAGTTTTGGGTTTATCCCACCTGTGTTTCCTTTGCAAAAATTAGAAGATTCAAGTACATTTTATTTCCCTTTCTTTCACAAAATATAGAGTGCTATATATACTTTTTTGCACTTTAGTTTTTTCAATAAACATTATATCTTAGTAATCACTCCAAACCGGTTTATAGAAAACTTCCTTATTCTTTTTTTTTTTTTTAACAACCGTGTAGTACTCCATTGTGGGGCTGATCCAGCTCCTCAGTGAATCTCCTATGTATGGGCATTAGGGTGTTTCCAATATTTTAAAATTATAAATAATGCTGCTGTTTGAGACACTACCTATTTCTTCTCCATTTAGCATACCTACCGGCCATGTATGTATATATATTTCCCCAGGATCATCAAGAGAGTATGTTGTCAAGCTTCTAAATGTTTTCTAATCTGATGGGTGAGAAGTCATTTTTTTTTTAAAGTTTCTTGAAAAGTAGTACAGTTTCTGGGCAGTCTTTATCCAGCTTCTCCCAAAGATAACATCCTACATCATGAGGACACCTGGGTGGCTCAGTGGTTGAGTGTCTGTCTTTGGCTCAGGTCGGGATCCCGGGGTCCTGGGATCGAGTCCTGCATCCGGCTCCCTGCAGGGAGCCTGCTTCTCCCTCTGCCTATGTCTCTGCCTCTCTGTGTGTGTCTGATGAGTAAATAAATAAAATCTTTTTTTTTAAATTTTATTTATTTATGATAGTCACAGAGAGAGAGAGGCAGAGACACAGGCAGAGGGAGAAGCAGGCTCCATGCACCAGGAGCCCGAAGTGGGATTCGATCCCGGGTCTCCAGGATCGCGCCCTGAGCCAAAGGCAGGCGCCAAACCGCTGCGCCACCCAGGGATCCCAATAAATAAAATCTTGAAAAAAACCCCCAAAACATCCTACATAACCAAAATATAATGATCAAAGTCAGAAAACTGACATTAACACCCTGCTTTCAACAAAATTACATACCTTATTCCAATCTCACCAGTTTTTACACATGCTCAAAACTTCTGCTGTATACTTCTGTGAGATTTTTTCCACAATGTAGCTATAATTTGCATTTCTCTTATGGCCAACAGTGAGCATTTTCCATAAGTTTAAGGATGATTTTAGATCTTTTTTTCGTGAATTGTCCGTTCATATTTCTTTGTCCATTTTTTTTGTTTTTCACATTTCCCCTCCTCAAATGGAAAGAGTTCTTCGTATGTTAATGATACCGGCCTTTTATTTGTGATATATGTCGTAAATATTTTCTCCTACTCTGTTGTCTTTTTGTCTTTGCTTATAGGTGTTTTTTCCACATGCAAAAGTTACAGGAGATTTTATGTAGTCAACTGTATTAATCTTTTATGACACCCGAATTTTAAGTCATAGCTAGACGGCCTTTTCCCACACACAAGTTACGGAGAAATCCACCTACATTTTCTTCTATATTTGCATTTTCATTTTTTGCATTTAGATGCTCATCATTCAGTTTATATTTGTGTGTGGTGTGAGGAGTGGATCCTGGCTCAATTAAGTAAATATAGCAAGCTATTAGCAATAGATGGCAGGCGCACGGGTGTTTACCACGCTTGCATCTTTCCTCAAGGTTTGACAGTTTGAAGAATCGGCAGTTGGGGGCGAGGTGCGCCAAGCAGGTTGCGCAGGCGGCGCGGCTGGCCCTTTAAGCCGGGCCCCGCCCACCCCGGAAGGGCTCGCGCGAGCCCCGCCCCCGCCGGCCCGGCCCCGCCCCGGGCCGCCGGCCCCGCCCCCGCCCCGCCCCCGCCCCGCCCCCGCCGCGGCGGAGGGTGGTCACGTGAGCCGGCTGCGGCGCGCGGCTCGGCGCGGTGATGGTGGCCCCGCTGTACGGCTCCCCCGGCGGCCGCCTGGCCCGGGCGCTGACGCGGGCGCTGGCGCTGGCCCTGGTGCTGGCCCTGCTGGTCGGGCTGCTCCTGAGCGGCCTGACGGGCGCGACCCCGATCTCGGGGCGCCAGTGGGGGCCCAGCGGGCCGGTCCCGCCCGCCTCCCGCAGCCGCTCGGTGCGCCTGGACCCCCAGACCGGCCAGTTCCAACTGGTGGATGGCCTCCACCCGGACGCCGTGGCCTGGGCCAACCTCACCAACGCCATCCGCGACACCGGGTAAGGCTGGGGGGGCTCGGGCGCCGGCTCGCCTCGCTGCCCCGGGGGTGCCCCCGGCTCCCTCCAGGTCAGTTTCCCGCCTCCGAGGCTGCGGCGCGGCCCTCCGGCCCGGGGCCCGGGTTGGGTGGGGGCCAGCGCAGCATCCCTCGGCCCAGGGGGACCAGCGCCTCGCCCTAGCCAGGGGGACAGGCCGCATCCCGGCCGCGCAGGCCCCACTGCCTCCCTCCGGATCGGCCGGAGCACTCCCCACCCCACCCCACCCCACCCACGCCTCCCCTGGGGCCAAAGGCTGTTGACAGCTCTTCTAAAGAGAGACTCTCACTTCCCTGATTGTGGCTTACCCCGTAGGTGCCAACCCCTGCCTATTCCAGAACCAGGGCAGCTTCTGAGCCTGGGTTCTAGGCCAGCACAAAAAACCAGGGTCCCTGAACTCACGTAGACCCACATGGTATTTTTGCTTGGGGTCTGCACCTCCTTTCTCTCCTCCCTCCCAGTCCAGGGGAAAGTTATTTGGCTGGTTAGTGAGCATGGAGCCAAGTGCTCCGTCGTCCTCGGTAGTGGTGATCGCTGGCCTCATCGCTGGGGATCAGGCTGTTGTTCTGACTCCCCTGCCTGTCCGGGCTCCCATTGCCCTGTCTGTGGCTCAGATTTTGAGGATGTGCTCTGGCTGGGAGATGGACTGGTACCCTTCTCAGGCCCCGTCCCAGGGCCTTGTGCCCATTCATTCGCTAACCTGTTGCACTTGGCCCTGGGGACAGAGCTGAGCAAGATGGGTCTTGATTCAATGGGGGGGGGGGGGGGCGGAGACAGAGAGTGCCAGAAGATAACCTGACTCAGTGGGTGCGGGCGAAATCTAGCCTAAAGCCTTGTCAGCGGGGCTCAGGCCCTGGATCAAGGCTGTGTTGGCCATCTTAGTAAACCCTCAGTCCCCTCCTACCACCCTCCCACTGCTCCCATCCATTTGCCTGGCATGCATTAATTCCTGCAGGTGTTGGGGAGATACAGGACACCAAGGACACCCCCATTTTTGATGCTTTGTGGTACTTGGGAGGGGATCAGAGAGACGGAGATGGGGGTTGGGGAGATTGTGAGGAGGGGATCTGCTGTAGACACAGGAGCTGGACAGGGCTAATCTGGGAAGGCTCCCAGGGAGAGGAGGCCACAGGGTGGGCTAGTGTCCATGGAGGGAACTAGAGCTCTGTGGCTCTGTAGCTCTGAAATCTGGTGACCCATTCTCTGCTGACTCACACATGGTTTTGGCTCTGCTTAGCAAAGCCAAGAGGGCATGACAAATCTCAGCCTGTATGCTAGCTGGGAAGGAGGCACAGAGGTGAGGCCCAGCATGGGGAGAGGTCCTTGTCCCCAGGAGGCCCCCACAGCGCTGTTTTGCTCCAAATTATGGAAAACCAAAGTGGAGAGAAGACTTCCTTGATCGTGCTGGATGGAAAGCTCTTTGTGGTCCAGCTCTTTCTCTATGTGACCTTGGGCAGATCACTTCGCCCCTCTAAACCTATTTTTTCTCCTCAAGGTGAGGCTTGGAGGGAAATTCACTGGGATTACAGAAAGCACCTCTGTTTGTTAACTGAATGAAGGAATGAGTGAAAGAAAAAGGAGCAGGTGTCTTCTGCCCCCATTTTACAGTTGGGGAAACTGAGGCCTGAGACAAGAGCCCAGGTCTCTTCCACGCTTATCCCTCTCACGTCCTCTTTCTAGCATTCTATCTGTCCAGTCTGCCCGTTTAGCCCTGGGGGCTGTGCTCTAGGGAGAATGGATCAGAAGCCCCCATTTTGGAAGCAGGGAAACTGAGGCCCTTAAGATCGACCTCTTAGGGGCAGCTGGGTGGCTCAGTAGTTGAGCGTGTGCCTTTGGCTCAGGGCATGATCCCAGGGTCATAGGATCGAGCCCCGCATCAGGCTCCGCTTCTCTCTCTGCCTCTCTCTGTGTGTGTCTCATAAATAAATAAATAAAATCTTAAAAAAAAGAGAGAGAGAGAGAGAGATCGACCTCTTAGAACTCAGGGATAGGATGAAAGAAAGGCATCTGAGGTTTCCTGGTCCCTGATCAGCAGAACCTCTGAACCGTCGGTGACTCTTATTTTTCAGAGTGGAGGCCAGGGATTTGACTCTTCTGTATACCTGGAGTTGGGGGTCTCTCCTCCTTCCGTCCCCCACAGTTCGCCATGGGGGATCCTGGGACTGTCAGGATAAATTCCATGTCCTCTTCCCCGCATAACCTGTCCTCTTTCAGTTGTGCTGTGTCTGACCTTGGACGGGTGATGACTCGCTGTAAGGCCTGAAACATTTAGGATTTGGTGCTTGGGCATCAGACGTGCCCCAGGAGGCAGAGCCTGCAGTAGGATGGCTGTGGCCTTGGTACCAAGGAGGCTGAACCTTCCAGCCCTACCCTTTCCTCCTTCCCTGACCCCCTCACCTGCTGCCAGACACGAATCACAAATCACCATGAAGTTGGAAAGGGAAGTGGGTACCAATAAGAGGGAATTACCCTGTTAAGAAGCATAGAACCAACTCAGATACACCAAGTAACCAGAGAAACCCAGCTCAGTAAAATGCATAAATACCATCCAGCTGTTCTTGGAAGTCAGGAAAGGTAAACATCCCATCAAAACCAAGGAAAGAGGGTAGCCCCGGTGGCGCAGCGGTTTAGCGCCGCCTGCAGCCCGGGGCGTGATCCTGGAGACCCGGGATCGAGTCCCACGTCGGGCTCTGTGTGGTGCCTGCTTCTTCCTCTGCCTGTGTCTCTGCCTCTCTCTCTCTCTCTGTCTCTATGAATAAATAAAATAAAAAAATCTTTAAAAAAAAAAAAAAACCAAGGAAAGAGTGGTAGCCACAGATAAGGTAGGGTAGGGTGTCTGGGGTGCACAGCACGGTACCCTGAAGCATGGTGTGGAGCTGGGGGAGGTTTGTGAGTGCTCATCACACAGCAGTGGTCTGATTTTTCTCGGACATGGCCTCTTCAGACCCTGGAGACGTCGTCAGGCAATAGGCACCCATGAGACATAAAATCACAGTGTGGCCCATAGACTTTCCAGAAAGAAAAAACAAAGATTGGAAAAACAGATTAGTGCCGCCAACTTTTTATTTTTGTCAAGTGAGTGCATTAAAAACAGAACAGCGTTTATTGACCTCTGTCAATTTTATCTCATAAGAGATCAACTATTTTAGAACCAAGTAAGCAGGAAGGACGTGTTCTTTAGTAGAGAGCAGTCTAATGAATACATTTAACTTTAGAAATGCTTGTCAGTGGTTTTCTTTTAATCAGGGATTGGGATAGAGTTTCTCAAAGCTGTCAATCTGCACAGCGTGAAGGAATCTAGACACCATTTGCGTGAGTTCAAGCCTCCCCATTTTACAGACGGGGACCCCGAGGCTGGAAGGGCCAGGTAGTATGGAGCAGAGTTTCAGGTTTACTGAAAGATCTAGGCTCACATCTTAGCCTGCCTTATCTCTGTGGTGAGGATGGTGACAACCCTGGGGAGGTGGTGGTAAATCTTTTGATTTGGCTTAGGGTCTGAAGCCACAGAGGGATCCTTAGAGCCTTCAGAGGCTCCAGCATTGAAGTCTGGTAGCTTAGAACAAAACCCCTTGAATGGGAACATCTCCCACCCAAAGTGTTCTGGAAAGATAGGTGGAAATTCATCTATTTGGATCTTCTGAGGCCTCAGGCAAAGTAAATAAAACCCATCTAAATGAAATTACCCCTTTGGAACAAGGCAGCATACAAGGAGATGAGGGTGGGCAGTGGCAGGGGCTGGGGGTGGGGGTGAAGGAGTTAGTATCACTTTTTACTCTTCCTCCTTCAAGTCTCTTATGTTATTGGCTTTATTATACAAATAATTAACTTGGTTAAAAAGATCCCACTGGCTTAGGTAGGATGTGTGAGGTAAGTCCCCCCATATATAATCACTGTTAGCTCTTTCTTCCAGAACTTTCTATGCATAAATAGACCTAAGTGTGCATGCATATGTGTGAGCATAGGTATGCATGCATGCGTGCTTGCATAAAATGCTTTTCACACACAGGGTTATCCTGAGTCAATCGTTTATTCTTCTCTAATCTTTTTTTTTTTTTTTTTAAAGATTTTGTTTATACCTGAGAGACACACAGAGAGAGACAGAGACACAGACAGAGGCAGAAGCAGGCTCCCTGCGGAACTGCAGACTCCCTGATTCAGGACTGGATCCCAGGACCCCGGGATCACCACCTGAGCCAAAGGCAGATGCTTAACCACTGAGCCACCCAGGTGCCCCTGATCTTTTTTTTTTTTTTAATGTTATCTCTGACATCTTGTCAGCATATGACACCCCTTTCTCATCATAGCAGTTGGCATGTTATGTCATTATCTGCTTACATTCTGGCACCCCAACCCCAGGCACCCGCCACCCCCGCAATAGCTATGGGAAGGCCAGGCCTGAATGTCATTCACTTTTGCACACCTTTGGATGTCTGGCACCCAGTGGACTCTCAAAGTGGCTTGCTTGCCAAAAGTATCAGGTGAGCATGTTTGATCATCTTTTCTTCTCCAGAGTCTTCTCTAGGCCAGAGCTGTTCTTGCCTTGGAGCTCTCCGGTGCCGTGTTAGCCAGCTCCCCACGAGACTATCCTGGCTGAGCCTGGCTCTGCCTTGTTTTGGAGGCTCTTCATGATCTCATTGGTGTCTTCCTATTGCCCCTCGTTTTCTTAGTAGAAATTGCCTTAAGAGGCGCACTTGGGTGGCTCAGTCAGTTAAGCCTCTCCCACGTCAGGCTCCCTGCTCAGCAGGGAGTCTTCTTCTCTCTCTCTTCCCTGCTCATGCTCTTTCTCTATCAAATAAATAAATGCAACCTTTAAAAAAAGAAAGAAAGAAAGAAAAAGAAATTGCCTTAACACTGGTTTCTCCTCGAGTTATGGAAGCCACCTGGGTGAATAATTTTATGTCCTTGGAGCAAGGATGAAATCCAGAACCAAAGATGGATAGATTTGGTTGCGTAAAAACTGGAAACCTCTATATGGCAAAAACAAAAGCAAAAAATCAATTAAAATACAAACATTTTCAATATTAGTGACAAGCAAAGGGCTAATGTGTACATAGAGAACTTCATAAATCAATAAGAAAAGATAAACACAGTGGAGAAAAGTGAATAAAGCACTTGAGCCAAAGAACTGTAAATGACCAATAAAAATTTAAAAACAAGTGTAGGGGTGCCTGAGTGGCTCAGTCAGTTAAGTGTCTGGCTCTTGATCTCAGCTCTGGCCTTAATCATGGGGTCATGAGTTCAAGCCCCATGCTGGGCATGGAGCCTTCTTTAAAAATTAATTAAATAAATTGAAAAAATAAAAACAAGTGTAATTTAACTAATTAAAGGATTATTATTAAAACAACGTGATGGCATTTTTCAACCATTGCCTTGGCAAAGATGAAAAAGATCAATAGGAATCATTTCAAGCGAGAGAGTGGGCAGACAGGAATATGCACATGGTGGCGAAGTAGTCTCTAGCCCAGCGTGGTTGCAGGCTGGCAGCGGCAGCGTTGGCATCACCTGGGCGCTGGTTAGAAATACAGGGTCTCAGGCCCTGCCCCAGACCTCCTGATCAGAGTCTGCTTCCAGACAAGGTCTTCAGGTGGCATGGATGCATGGGAAGTGCTGCTTCCCAGAAGGAGCGGGAGCCATCCTGCCTGGAATTGAATCCCAGCTCTGCCCTTTGCTGGCCCTGTAATCTTTGGCAAATGTATTGGTTAGTGTTGGGCCACAGTGTTGTGTAACAAACCACCCACCAAACCCACTGGCTCCAGAAATAACCATTTATCCTCATGGATCCATGGGGCAGCCAGGGCAGCTCTGCTTCATGCTATGAGTCTGCAGACCTGGTCTGCTCCATGTTTCTGTCATGCTCCTGGGAGCAGTGGGCTGGCTGGGGCATGTTGCAGTGGCAGTAGCAGAGGCATAGGAGGGCAAATAGCAACAAAGGAGGCCTATTGAAGGCTAATCTTATAACGGGCACACGGTCTCTATCTGTATTCCATTAGCCAAAGCAAGTCATATGACACGGCTGAGCCCAAATCAGTGGAGCAGGGAAGGACTCAGCCATTGGTAGGACCACAAAGTTTCACAACTGAGGGTACTGATAGGGAGGATTGGGCAGTAGTGCAGGCTTCCAGCAGTCATGGAACTTGGCCTCGATTCCCTCCGCACCTGTTCTATGGGGAATAACGGTGCCTACCTGGGAGGATTATAGGATTGCCATGAGGATTGAATGACTTAGTAAACAAGAAGTGACTAGAACAGCATCTGGCACAGAGGAAGCCCTCAGTTGACACTGGCTGGTGTGTTTGTCAGGGCCGGGACATGGATTGGCACAGCTTTTGGGGGGCTGCTGTTTGTCAATGCTTATTAAAACTAAAAATACATGTGCCCTTTGACCCAGCAGCTCCCCTTTTAGGGATTTAGCCTGCCGAGTGCACAAAAACAGATGGCCATTCCCATGAATGACAGTTCTTCACTATGTTTTTAATGATTTAACACCGGAGATGGCTGTGTGCCCAGCCGAGGGCTGGTTTTGCGTTTGCCCCTGTGCTGACCAGGTGTCCCCTTTCCTACCCATCTAGGTGGGCCTTTCTGGAGCTGCGCACGAACGGCCAGTATAATGACAGCCTACAGGCCTATGCGGCGGGCGTGGTGGAGGCTGCTGTGTCTGAGGAGGTAAGGGCCATGTGGGGGAACCTGGGGCTCCTACCCCACACAGTGTACCTGCCAGGATGCTTTGAAGGGTTCTGAGGTGAGGTGCCTGCCGAGTGGGCCCCCATGCCCCCACCCCCAGCCCTCCACAAATTGAGGAGCAAGCTCATGTGCATTCTTTAAAAACTTAGGCTACGTACTATTTGATGCATATAAAGGATGTATACCATGTTCCAAGTCACGAAGCACAGCAATAAAAGAATATCCAGACCAAAACGTAGAATGTTACTGATCCCTCTGAGACCCCCTTTCTAACCCCTGCCCCCAGAGGCGCCATCACCCTAAATGTGACTTCCATTCATTCATTCATTTATATTGAGATATAATTCCCATGCAATAAAACTTATTTTATTTTATTTATTTATTTTTTAAGATTTTATTTATTTACTCATCAGACACACACAGAGAGGCAGAGACATAGGCAGAGGGAGAAGCAGGCTCCCTGCAGAAAGCCTGATGTGGGACTCGATCCCAGGACCCCGCGATCACAACCTGAGCTGAAGGCAGACCACTCAATCACTGAGCCATCCAGGTGCCCCAAACTCACTATTTTTGAATGTATAATTCAGTGGTTTTTAGTATATTCATAGGGTTGTGCAACCATCACCACTACCTAATTCCAGAACATTCTCATCACCCCAGAAAGAAACCCCATACCTCCCTTCTTTCCCTCACCCCGTCCCCCAGCAACCATTAATCTGCCTTCTGCCTCCATGGGTTTGCTTATTCTTAACATTTCGTATGAGTGGGTGGTCTTTTGTGTCTGGCTTCTTTTACTCAGCATTGTGTTTTCGAGATTGATCCACGTTCTAGAGTGTGTCAGTACTACAGTCCTTTTTGTGGCCAAATAATACTGTATTGTGTGGACAGGTCACATTTTATTTATCCATCTGTCAGTGGACGGACACTTGAATTACTTCCACTCTCTTACTTTTGTTAAACTAGTTTTATAACACATGCCAAATCCTCCGACAACACACGATTTTGCTCTACTTGGGACTTTATAAAAGTGATATAAATTTGGGAAGTCAGCCCACATCAGAAGGGGGTGAGACTTTGCAGTGAGAGCCCGTCTCCTGCAGCATGAGGGGAGGTGGGACACCCACTTGGGAAAATCATTTAGCAATAATAGAATTGAGCCCGCACAAACCCTAGGGCCCAGTGGCCCCGTTCCTGATACCCTCCGAATGACCTGAGGATGAGCCTAAGGTGCTTAGAGCAGTAGCCCCAGAGTGGGAACAGCCAAGTGCCACTGACCAGTGAATGAGGACCCAGATGGGTCATATGCAAAGTGCCCTATGCTAGAGCTTTGGGGAGGAATAAGCAGCATGGACACATCCTGGATCCTGGCTGGTGAGGGGGGAAGTGTGCATGGCAGATGGCTGCACACAGGGGACACCCCTTTATAAAACTCTTGCTCCTCATTCTGACACCCAGCAGTAGTTTGGGACGTCCTTTTGGGACCTCAGTGTCTGGGGAGCTGCTCAGACACTAGGCCAGGCTGGTGCTGTTTGAAGTGCAGTGAATGGGACGGGACGAGATTCCATCTTTCAGGGGCCCTATAGGCTGCCGATGGAAGTGTGGCCACCCCACTGAGACTCAGAGAGGCGAAGTTACTTACCTGGGGTTGCACAGCCAGTCAGCAGAGGAGCCAGCATTCAACGCCAGCTCTGGCCGACCAGAGTCTCTGTTACTAACGGTTCTTGCTTTGCCGCCTTCCCCCTGGCCCAGGAGCTTCTTGTGAGTGGTGATTATGTCCTGTCCCCAGCTGTGTCCCCTGCACCCAGGCCAGAGCCTGATGTAGGACAGGCACTTGGGAAATGCTTCCGGAAGTAGTGGACAGCTGCACGGAGGAGGTGGCATCTTACTAAGGCTTCCAGGGTGGAGTAGAATTTGGATGTATTTCATGGAGATGGCAATGGAGCAAGGGGTCCCCAAGCAGTCCGTCTCGGGGTACAGGGTGCCGCCACAATCCCCTCGTTGACCCATGTGTCTTGGGAATGTTTCCAGTGTGGTGAGGGGTGTAGCTGGAACTTACCCCGCCAAGCTTGGCACAGTGAGGTCCACGCTTTGGGACATTACAAATCCACACCTTTCCAGGGTTCAGATCTTGACACTGTGATTCATTACCCAGATGGCCTTGGGTAAGGTAATCATCTGCCCGTGCCTCAGCGTCTTCAGCTCTGACACGGAAATGGTGATAGAGCACTTTCCTTACAGAGTTGCCGTGAGGTTTGAATGTGTCCATGCAGCATGCCATTCATGGGAACTCTGGGCAATGAGCTAGGGGACTTTCTTCCCCCAGCTGGAATGTCAGCTGTGGGTGGACTGGGGATTCCAGGCCAGGCCTGGCTGATCTTAGCTGGGTTTATCCTGGCAGGTCAGCTAGGGCAGCTGGTTGGCTTAGAGTGGCCTCATTCATATACCTGGGGACTGGCCCTCTGTCAGCTGGGGTGGCAGGGCTGATGTAGTGTTTAACTTGCCAGCAGGCTAGCCCAGGCTTGTTCATGTCACATCGGGTCAGGGACGTGTGGATGGCTTCTTGAGGGCTGGTTGAACTGGCCTTCACTTGCCCATGTGAACTCACTTGTGAGTTAACTGCTATGTCCTTGGAGCTGAGGATAGCACATAGTAGGGGCACGAAAGGGGTGGTTAGTTGATTGACTAAATACACCCATATCTTTTAGGTCTCCAGTAACAGAGGAGACGCAGTCTAGAACAGACTTTGAATGAGGGCTTTCAAAGGAGGGGGACATCTAGAAGCTTCAGGCCCTGATGGGATGGGAGACGGATGGGTGACTAGCCCTCTAGGGGAGGAGAGCCAGTGGGAACTGAGGCGCGGAGGGGGCCTTGCAGGGCACCATGCTTCTTGGAGGCCTGTGTAGGGGTGAGTCGGGGGCCAGTGGAGCCCACAGCGAGGAGAGCAGCCTGGTGACCCCGCCCCTGCCCTTGCCCACCTGCCCCCCCCCCGCCCCCACAGCTCATCTACATGCACTGGATGAACACCGTGGTGAATTATTGTGGCCCCTTTGAGTACGAAGTCAGCTACTGCGAGAGGCTCAGGAGATTCCTGGAGACCAACCTGGACTGGATGCAGGAGGCAATAGAGATGAACAAGGACTCTGCGTACTGGCATCAGGTGCGTGTGGCCCCCTGTGCTCTGAGGGGCACAGCAGGCTGGGGCTGCTCCCCTTCCAGCTGGCTGGCCTGCCCGTCTCCCACCCTCTTTGCCAGGCCTCTCTCTCTCCCTCCCTTCTTCATCCACCCACCCACCCACCCATCCATCTATCTTCCATTCATCCTCTCCCTCCCCCCTTCCCTCTCTCCTCTCCATCTACCCACCTACCCACCTGTCTCTCCATCTTCCATTCATTCCCCTCCCCCTCCCTCCACCCCCCCTTCCCTCTTACCTATCCATCCATCCATCCATCCATCCATCCATCCATCCATCCACAGGTAGTTTGTTAGCACATGCACCACACACAGGCTTACCCATCTTCTACTCTCCCATCTGCCACTCCCCTCCCATCTTAGGCCAGTTCTTGGTTCTCCCACCCCCCAACCATTGACGTACCCCATGTGGTTGCCTGTCCATCTCCCTGCCCACCATCTATCCACCTGTTCACCTCCCCCCTGCACTTCTTCCCACTCACTTGCCCAGCCCACTCGGACCAGCCACTTTATCTGCTTCATTCCCTACCTTCCCTCCCAGCCGTCAGCCTTCGAAGCACCTTGAAGTGTCAGTCTCATCATGGCCACTCATTCTCCCCACCAGGGGCCACCCTGGTCCCTGGGGATGATGCCCACACTCCTTTGCACCCTCTCCATCCCCAGCTTTGGCTCTTGCTGACCTCCTCGCTCTATAGTCTAGCCTCCCTGACTTCCTGCTTTCTGGAACAAGATGTGTTTGTTACCTCTGTTACCTCTTGCCTCAGGACTTACGATCTGCTCCTCTGCCTAGAGCGCTTCCTTTTCCCCCTCTGCCTGGTTTACCTCCCACGCCTCACCTCTGTCCTGTCCCCATATTTTCCTGTGATGCTCTAGTAAGGGATTTAGAGTCTGTCTTCAACTAGACTTGAGCCCACGAGGACAAGGCAGGGATCACATCTGCTTTGCACACCATAGTATCCCTGGCGCCCAACACGAGAGCTGACACATAGTAGGTGCTTTATATGTAAATGTTTGTTGAATACATATAGATGAGAGAATGGATCTGTCTTGTCCTGTCTGTGCATCTAGCCTGTGCCACTGCCTGGACATCTGTCCTTCTGACCACCCTGCCATCCACCTGGATGATTACTTCTCAGTCCTTTCTTCCCTTCTATGTATCTTAGCAGCCATGCTCAGTGCTGCCTGACTGTCCATCCTCTTGTCCATCCATCCATCCCTCTAGCAGATGCTCACGAAGTGCCTGGTATATACTCAGCGCTGACCAAGGCCCTATAGGGTACACAGTGATGATCCCTAGTTAGAGAACAGTGACAGTGACAGTGATAGTGGGGAGAAGTTAGCTAATGAGACCTGTGCCCTGAGGCAGCAGCACAGCCACTAGTTAAGCTCAGATTAAAGAGCAGTTGACAGTGGGTCAGGGCTGGCTGGGAGGCTTTCTGGAGGAGGTGACATTGAGCTGGGCTCTTAAGTAGGGGTGATTTAGGTTGGCAGAGGGCAGAAACATATAGTTAACTAAGTGATGGCAAGAGAGAGGGTGGGTGCTGGGGAAGGGGTGGTCAGGGCTGTCTGGATCCTGGGGGATGCACCTGGGCCACTCCTGCCCTATCTGGATCCCCAGGCCAGAGCCCCTCCCATTACAGGAGAAGGCATGAGCCCGGGGTGGGGAGGCCTCACCCCATCTGCCCCTCCCCCTAGGTGCGGCTGACCCTCCTGCAGCTGAAAGGCCTCGAGGACAGCTATGAAGGCAGTATGACCTTTCCAACTGGGAGGTTTACCATCAAACCCTTGGGGTTCCTGTAAGTGCCACTCCCGGAGCGGACAGGGTAGGGGAGAGGGCCGTGCATCTTACCATCAGACAGACCTGGGTTCTAGTACCCATTCTGCTGCCTCCTGGCCCAGCCTTCCAGGGCCTCAGCTTCATCCTCTGTGAAAGGGGTATGTGAATGCACTCCCAGCAGGCTGGCATGGTAACCCTCCGGCACCCCTGCCCTCCTCAGCCTGTTGCAGCTCTCTGGGGACCTGGGAGACTTAGAGCCAGCCCTGAATAAGACCAAGACCAAGCACGTTATGGGCTCTGGCTCCTGCTCTGCCCTCATCAAGCTGTTGCCCGGCCAGAGTGACCTCCTGATTGCCCACAACACCTGGAGCTCCTACCAGAACATGCTGCGGATCATCAAGAAGTACTGGTTCCAGTTCCGGGAAGACCCCCAAGGTGGGTGGATGTGGGTGTATCTGTGTGTGTGAGCGTGCGTGTGGCACCAGGAGGTGTGGACCTCGGCCCTGTACACGCTGTGCCCTAGGAGTCCATCTCACTTTTAACATTTTTGTTTTCTGTTAGCTCCTTTTCACAAGGTACACCAGTTACCTCTTGGTGCATGACAGATCACTCCCACTTTTAAGACAACAGAAGCGTAAAAGCACAGCCATTTGTTTTTGCTCTCGTGTCTGTGGGTCAGCTGGATAGTCTTGTTAGTTTGGGCCAGGCCTGGCTGATCTTGGCTGGGCCACTGATGCTTCTGCAGCCAGCCGGGGTGAGCTGGCTGACCGAGGGTGGCCTCATCTGCATGTCTGGGGGTGGCTTTCAGCTGGGTGTTGGGGCAGCTGGGTAGCTCCCGCTCATTCTCCTGACATCTGGGCAGGGCAGTGCGGAAGGCCTCTCAATGGCTGACTGAAACTGACACAACATTCTGTTGGCGCTGCCACTTTGAGGAAGAACCTAGCCGGTATCTGATGAGATTCAAAATCTGTCACTCTCGTGGTCCAGCAATTCTTGGCCCAGATCTATCCCTAGAGAAACATTTCGGCTTCCGCACAGAGATGGTGTACAAGGATGTCAACTACAGTAATGGTTTGGAAACAATCTAATGCCCATTAACTTAAGTAAATTTCGGAGTTGACATGTATCCAGAGAAGTGTGCACATTGTACTTGTATAGCTGGAGTCTTTGTAGATTGCACACATCTGTGCACAACACCCAGACTGAGAAATGGGACATTCCTAGCCCCCAGAAGCTGCTCTCAGGTCCCTTTCCAGGCACTTATCTCTACCCCAGCATAACCTCCCTCTGACCCCTTACAGCATAGATGAGCCTGATTTTGAATGTTCTGTATGTAGAAACATACAGCATGTGCTCGCTTGTGTCTGACTTCTCTCACTTAGCATAATGCCTGTGAGGTTCATCCATGTTGTTGTTTGTACCCATAGATCGATCATGGTCATTGTGATGGATTCATGAACAGTGTAGTATCTCCTGAAAAAAAAATCCTATGCAAGGGAGTGCCTGGCTGGCTCAGTCAGTAGAACATGCAACTCTTGATCTCGGGGTTTTGAGTTTGAGCCCCAAATCACTTGAATACTCCATAGCCCACAGGAGGTAATTTCTGTGAATATTTGTTTTTTGTTTTTTTTTTCCGTAGACTAAAATGTACCTTATTTTCCCGTTTGTTTCCACTGATGTTTATTATGTTAGTAATATGTGAATACATTCTTATGGACACGAATTCTAGTAGTGAATGAAGAAATAGATCTCTTGTGATACCCTCTTCCAAATTCCAGACCCTTCCTAAGAGGATACCTGTTGCCGTTTTGGTTTGGATCCATCTAGATTTTGGGGGTTGACTTATATTGTGTATACACGATCCATATTTTTTTAGTTAATAGGTTTTACTTTTTAGACAATATCCAGGTTTACAGATAAATTGGGTAGATGATACAGAGTTCTCATATACCTTCCTGCTCCTTTCTCCTATTATGAACATGTTGCATTGGTGTGGTACGTTTGTTACAACTGATCTACCAATGCCCATAATCTACATTCAGGTTCACTCTGAATAGTATGGATTTTGGTAAATGGACAATGATGCATATCCACCTTCGCCACCCTGAACATTTTGCTTTCTGGGTTTCTTTTAAACGTAAGTAAGATCATACCATATAGGATTTTGGATATTACCATGTTCAGTCTACCTTTTAACAGCTGATGTTAAACTTTTAACTAGTTCTCAATTGAGGATGTCCGGCTGAGTCTTTGGAGCTTCAGACGATGGTGCGGCAAGACAAGTGCGCCCCCAAGTGAAAATGCTGGATTAAAAGATGGGCATAAGTAGAAGTGCCTGGATGGCTCAGTCAGTTAAGCATCTGACTCTTGATTTTGGCTCAGGTCATGATCTCAGGGTTGTGAGATTGAGCCCCATGTCAGTCTCTGCACCTAAGTGCAGGGTCTGCTTGTCCCTCTCCTTCTGGTCCTTCCTTCACTTGTTCTCTCTCTCTCTCTCTCTCTCTCTCTCTTTCAAATAAATAAATAAATAAAATCTTAAAAAAAAAAAAAAGGATGGGCATTACTAGTTGCACCTGGGTAGCTCAGTTGATTGAGCATCGACTCCTGATTTCAGCCCAGGTTTTCATCTTGGGGTTGTAAGTTGAACCCCAGCATTGGGCTCCACACTCAGTGTGGAGCCTACTTAAAAAAAAAAAAAAAGATAGGCGTAGTTAAATACTTTAGTCTCTGAATACATATAGCCTAATTACCTCCAAAAGTGGCTGGGCCATTTTACACTTGTCCACGAGTCTATGAGCATGTGTTAGCTTTCCCCTCAACCTTGCCAGCACTGGATGTTATGGTTCATTTCAATTTTTGCCATTCTTATGGGTGATAAATGGTATCCTGGGCTGAGGGTTTTTTTTTTTTTTGTATGAACTTTACTGATGGACAGCTTAAACACATGTAGGATGTATATATTGGTGGGTCTGGACAAACCCACCACTCAGTAATGCCAGAGAACATTTCCACCCTGCAGGCAGGGTCCCTGTGCCCTTTGTAGTTATTATTTAGGCAACCCCTCTTCAAGTTTCCTTTCTGTTAGGTTAGTTTTGCCTGTTTTAGAAGAAAATAAAACCTGCACTAATATTTTAAAATTTCTGGTAATTGGAAAAAAAAATTCCGGTGGTTGATCTACTTATCGGTTTATTTATTTTGTGGAATTGAAATTCACATAACATAAAGTGAACCATTTTCAAGCGAACTATTCAGGGGCATTTAGGACATCCCTGATGCCATGCATCCACCACCTGTGTCTAGTTCCAAAGTATCTTCATCACCCTGGAAGGACACCCCTTGTCAGCAGTCCCTCCCCTTTCCCTTTCCCACCAGCCCCTGGCAACCAGCGATCTGCCTTTTCTCTCCCTGTGGATCTGCCATTCTTTTTTTTTTTTTTTTTTAAGATTTTATTTATTCATGAGAGACACAGGCAGAGGGAGAAGCAGGCCCCCTGCAGGGATCCCAGTGCAGGAGTTGATCCCAGGACCCCGGGATCAGGACCTGAGCCAAAGGCAGACACTCAACTACTGAGCCATCCAGATCTGCCCATTCTAGACGTTTCATGTGAATGGAATCGTACAGTAGTGGCTTTCTTGTGACCGGCAGCTTTCACTTAGTGTAATGTTTTCAGGGCTCATCCACGTTGTATTAGTGTCAGTCCTCCATTCCTTTTTATGGCTAAATATTCCATCGTGTGGATAGATGACAACTTGTTTATCTGTTATTATTGATGGACGTTTAGGCTATTTTCACCTTCTGGCTTCCAGAAGGTGAATTAAAAATTACTACTTTTTAGTAATGAAAACAAAGTGCTTAAGTAATGCGTGTTCACTATAGAATATTAGAAAATATGGTTGAGCACAGAGAAGCAATAAAACTTGCTTGTACCCCACCCTGCCCCCTGCCCCCAGAGAACGACCATTCATGTTGGTGGTTTTCCCCTCCAGTTCCAGCTGTTTAATTATGACTTTGCCCTTTTAATGTTTGTTTCTTTGTTAATTACATGGAAGTGGCTCCAGTGGTCCCTCCGGGTACCCTCACACCTGCCTCAGAACCCCTTGTACCTGAACCCCATCCCTTGACAAGTGCTGGTCTGGCATACGGTGCCCTTGATTGTACCCAGCCTACACACCCCCCTTGTGCCACCAACACTTAACTTCTGAGTCTGGGGACTTAACTCCTTACAGCTGCCATAAAAAAGGAGGAAATCCTTCCGTTTCTGACAACGTGGTTGAACCCAGAGGGCATTATGTGAAGTGAAATAAACCAGGTACAGAAGCACAAGTGCTGTATGATCTCACTTCTGCGGGGAATCTTAAAGAGTGGAACTCCTAGAAGCAGAGACTAGAGCAGTGGTTGCCAGGGGTGGGGGCGCGGGGAGGAGGGTGAAGCCACAGACTTCAAGTAGGTTCTGGGGACCTAAGGTGGAGCATTACAGTTAACAGTAGTGTCGTGACACTTGAAATCTTCAGGGAGGAGAGATCTCAAGCACTCTCGCCACACACAAAAATGGTGACTGTGTGAGGGGATGGGTGCACTTGTTAGCTTGATGGTGCTCATCAGTTCACAGTACGAGCGCGTGCATGCGTCACATTCTCACGCTGCGCACCCTAAGTACAGACAATTTTTATTTGTCAGTTATACCTCAGTAAAGCTGGAAAATGAAAAAACAAAGCCCATGTGCTCAGACTTCTGTTTTTTGCCCTCTGGATTATCTTTTTTTGTGATAGATCTTTCGATTAAAAAAAAAAAAAAGTAGGGGAAGGGTTGCCTGCCTGGCTCAGTGGAGCATGTGAATCTTGATCTCTGGGTTGTGATTTCAAGCCCCACATTGGGTGTAGAGATTACTTAATAAAATCTTTAAAAAAAAAAAAGGCCAAAAAGATTTTAGCAAACAGAATATGTTTGTAAAGAAATGTATGTGTATATATCTTTTTTTTTTTGCTACTAGCTTTCTTTTTTGCACACACACAACCACACACATGTGCACACATACACCACAAATGTCCTGTTTTGCTAAAATATCAGAACAGATGGAGGCACCCCATGAGGCCTGCTGCTCCCCACCTGGACACTCTGGCTCTTGGGTTGGGGCTCGGGGGTCCCTAAGTGGGCTTGTCTGACCTGCACCCTCCCCCCTTGTTGGGCTCACTCTCCCCTCCACAGAGAACTCTCCCCTGGCTCCTGGCAACAAGCTGGTCTTCTCATCCTACCCTGGCACCCTCTTCTCCTGTGATGACTTCTACATCATGGGCAGCGGGCTGGTGAGTGTCCCTCCCGTGTCGCCTTTCTCTCTGGGGCTACAGTCACCTGGCAGCTCTGGGCAGGTGGGTGGATGTGGCCCCCACCACCATCTGCACTGGGGCCTGTTCTCCTGCTGTGGTACTTGGACCACAGGATTAGGGGAGGGGTGAGTGGCTTCTTACAAGTGGAGACCCAATCCCTCCCTGGCAGCCAAATCTTGCACACCCCCCCCCCCACCGGGACTCTGCATTCTGAGCCAGCCCTCAGCAGTCGCTGGTCTTGAGACCCTTTTGCAATATTCTTGACCTCAGTGACCCCATTTTGCTAGGATGTCTTGAGCATAAGCCATCCCTCCCTCCACCATGACCTTGCTGTTTCTCATCCTGCCTCCCCTCCTGCCTTCCTCAAATTCCCTCTAACTGGGCCAAGTTTTCTGAATAGATGTTGTTTACAGTGTGTTGTTTTTATCGGTTTTCCTGGCTGGGGTCCAGACTTGTTTAGAAATCTGTTCCTGGCACCCCTCACCAGGGCATTGAGCCCTGAGATTGCAACATGCAGAGGAGGAAAAAACATCGCTGTAAAAAATACCCTCCAAGCGGAAAGTGCCAGTTCCCTGCTGGAGTGGCAACAAGGGGCGCTTGCTTTTTCTGCTATTTTCCCCTTGAATGTGGAAAGAGGTGTGAGAGGGCCAGGTCCCAGGTCGTAGGCTGGGGATCCCCCTTAATGCAGTCTGTCTGGGGAAAGGAGGGGACAGTCTGGGGAAGGACGACTAAAAAGGTTTCATCTGGTTACCTGGGAGGTGTCCTGGCAGGAAATTTACTTTCCATCATGGTCTTTTATTTTTTAAGATTTTATTTATTTGACAGAGAGCATGAGTGGGGGGAGAGGCAGAGGGAGAGGGAGAAACAAACAGGCTCCCCATGGAGCAGGGAGCCCAACATGAGGGGCTCAATTCCAGGACCCTGAGACCATGACCCAAGCCGAAGGCAGATGCTTAACTGAGCCACACAGGCGCCCCATCAGGATCTTCTGTTTTTGTGCCACAGACTCCTTTGGCAGTCTTAGGGGGCTATGAACCCCTTCTCAGAATAACATTTTTAAATGCATAAACCATTGTAAATGCATAAACCAATGATCTATGGGATCATAAAGGAAACCAGTGATATTGAAATGTGTTTATCAAAATATTATGTAAATAACCTTTAAATATCATATATGTGCTGTTTCGTTAACTTTTTTGTTTTGTTTTGTTAACTTATTAAGTAAGTAAGCTCTGGTAGTGGGTGTGCTAACTACCATAATTGGAAAGGAACGGGGAGCATAAATGATATTTTGAGATAGGTGCAAGCGACCCTGTTGTGTGGTGGGAATGCATCTGATTTCTGTAGGTGACAGTCTCGGGTACCACAAACGTCACAGTGTTGTGTCACCCGTGCTCACAGTGGAGAGAGATGCTGAGTTTCAGTTTGGTGGTGGTGGGAATGAAGAGGTGGTATTTTCAACTCCCAAGTCTGCAGACTCCCTGAGTACTACCCCAGGTCCAGAACTCCCCCATCCTGAGAGGGGAGACTGCCTTCCAGGGCTTTCTAGGCCACGGTGATTGGAATCCTGGCAGTGGCTTTGGATGCTGAGGACAGCCAGTTGAGGGACAAGGAAGCTACGGCTGGGAGCGGAAGAAGGTGTTCCCAGCTGGGCGTTCCTCTCAATCTTGCTTTCCAGATTCTTCTTTTAAATATCACATTTATGGCTATTGCTATCTTTTAGCTGTTTTTTGGGCTTTGTATAAAAAAGGAGGAAGCATGCTAATATCCTGTTATAAAGGAACAAGCATTGATTTAAGAGTTGGAAGTCTGGTGATCGAGTCTTGACCTATCCACTTACCAGCTGTGACCTTTGGCACTGTCTTAGCTTCTTCAGGCCTCAGTTTACCTTTCAGTAAAAAGCAGCATTAATAGCCGTGCTGGGTTTTCCCAAGGGGGTTGTGAGATTCCAAGCTAATAGCCTCCAGCCGCCTGACTTTCCCTCCAGAACTGCAAGGAATGGGTAGAAATGGGATGCTGTCCCTCCAGGGAAAGAGCTGACCAACTTGGTTGGGAGATTGGGTCCATAGGAGCAGCACCTCGGGCTCTCTCAGGGCCTGTCCCCAGGGCAAAGCTGGATGCGTGATTGTGAATCCTCCTCAGCACTCAACCAGGGAACCAGTGAGGAACATGCACACAAACCAGCACATGAGGTTTTAAAGAACTGTGGCCAATGTATGGACCATGATTGATATAGCAGTGCTACTTGGTGGCAGCATGCCCTAGCTGTAAGTCAGGTGGCCCTTCAGTGCAGCGCCCCCTCGGCCCTTCCACAGGTGACCCTGGAAACCACCATCGGCAACAGGAACCCAGCCCTGTGGAAGTATGTGCAGCCCAAGAACTGTGTGCTGGAGTGGGTGCGTAATGTTGTGGCCAACCGCTTGGCCTTGGATGGGGACTCCTGGGCAGACATCTTCAAGAAATTCAACAGTGGCACGTGAGTGGGCTCCTGGCACTGTGACCTCACCCAAGAAATGGACCAACTTCCCCCCTCAACAGTCAGACCCCAAGGGACCTGACATGGCACCAGAGCCGCACACCCCACACCCTTTGCCGAGCCCCCTCATGGTTCTTTTTGGAGTTGGAAGGTGTCTTAGAGTCTTCTCCCTTGTTTTATACTTAGGGAAACTGGGGCTTTACATCTCCCCTGCAGGTTCTTCCAACCAGGGAAAGGCCCCAGAGGGAGGCCAGGAAGAGAATTTAGAATTTGAGGGCTCTGGAGACAGGGCGAGGGCCGTCTGAGCAGGTGGGCATGGCAGATGGGCTCCCTGTAAGCTAGAGACACGGGAAGGTCTTAGAGCATTGGGCAGAATTGACCCTTATTCCAGTAAGCACTAGAGAACCAAAGACTTCTCTGGAGCAGACAGACAGCATGATGAGAGCTGAGAATACCAGGTCAAGCTGCAGTGTCAGGGTGACAGTCAGATGGCAGGACACCGCCCCCCACCCCCATGTCACTCCTTTCCCTTGATTCCTGGTGGTATGGGGCACTGGGGGATGGGGAAGCTGGGGCAGTGGCAAGGTGTGTTCAGTCCTCCTTCCTTGGCCATGACAGGTACAACAACCAGTGGATGATCGTGGACTATAAGGCATTTGTCCCTGGTGGGCCTAGCCCTGGGAACAGGGTGCTCACCATCCTGGAGCAGATCCCGTGAGTACCCTGGGAAGGAGAGCAGGGTGCTCCAGGCAGAGAGAACTGCCTAGGCAAAGGTCTGGAGACATGACTCAAAGGCAGGCCAGGTGGGAGCGGGAGGCAGCCCCTGACTGGGGCAAAAGATCCAGGACATAATCTACCTCTGGGCAGTGGGGAGTCATCAGGGCAGTACTCGCAGGTGCCCCTTTTCTCACCAGTCTTGCCCCATCTCTCTTCTCGGTCCCAGGGGCATGGTGGTGGTGGCTGATAAGACCTCAGAACTCTACCAGAAGACCTACTGGGCCAGCTACAACATACCGTATGTCCCCACCCCCATACCTGCCTCTCCCCTGCTCAGCTTTCCCTACTGGTCAGAGATCCTTCCTCGCGGGATCTTTTCAACCCACAGAGCAAAGAAACTACCCTGGCCTTTCTGTGGCCAGGAAAGCCCTGCCAGTTTTGGGATACGGTTGTGGAGCTCAGGTCTGTGCCCATAGCAGGGGCTGTGGCTCCCCCACTGCGTCTGCTGTAACCGGGCTGCTCAGCCATCACCTCTGGATGCTCACTGTGCTCTGCCGAGTGAGAGGTTTGATCTTACAGCCACTGAGTGGTGGCCATGGTCCCTGCTCCCATTTCACAGATGAGGAGACTGAGGCCTCCAACAAATGCCTGACTTCCGTGAGGCACGTTCCCCAGCTATTCAGTGGTGAAGTCAGCATCTGAACCCGTGTCTCTCGGACCACAGAGCCTGAGCTTGGTCACCCCCCCAAGCCACCCCCTGCAACATGACCAGAAGACGTTCCTGTGCTGTCCTGTCGTAGTTGTCAGTGATAATGTTGTGCTGTGACTGCCCCTCCACCTCCCCAGCCACTGCTCGCGTGGACAGAGATCGTGAGTGACCATCCTTGTTCTCTGTAGGTACTTTGAGAGTGTGTTCAACGCCAGTGGGTTGCAGGCCCTGGTGGCCCAGTACGGGGACTGGTTCTCCTATGATGGGAGTCCCCGGGCCCGAATCTTCCGGCGGAACCAGTCACTGGTGCATGACCTAGACTCCATGCTCCGGCTTATGAGGTATGTTGGAGGAGCATGAGCCCCGAGTCCCATAGAGCTTTCTGTGCATTTTACTGGCATCTGCGTAAACTTCGTCGCAAGCCCAGGGATCACAGGGTGGCAGCGAACTGTAACCACATTTACAGGTGAGGGTGCTGACCATCTGTTGAGGGGCCACCCAGTGCTGGGCACCATACTCAATACCAGAGAAATGGGACAAAGCAGGGAGCAAGCACCCTGGCTGTGGGAGATGCTAAATCCATCAAGCAGTCACACTGATGTGCGTGCGTAGCCAGGGCTGGCTGAGCCCCTAGAAATGCGATACAGGGGTAGGATGGGGCATCTCGCCTGGGTCAGGATGGGGGGCCCCAGGGAAAGGGCCACCTGAGCGGATGAGATGATGGGCATGGAATGAAGAGGTGAAGGGTGATAGAAGCCCATTTGGGGCTGCTGGCCTGGGGAGCTCGGCCTCCTCTTCCTGGCATGCCTGATGCCCCCTCCTTTCCTACATCCAGGTACAATGACTTCCTGCACGACCCCCTGTCGCTGTGCAAAGCCTGCAGCCCCCAGGCCAACGCAGAGAATGCCATCTCGGCCCGCTCAGACCTGAACCCGGCCAACGGCTCCTACCCTTTCCAGGCCCTGCATCAGCGCTCCCACGGGGGCATAGATGTTAAGGTGCTGCCCCGGGGCCTTGGGGTAGCAGGTGGGCTTGGATGCCATCTGGGCTGGAGCAGGGACGGGAGGAGGTGAAGGCTGGGTCAGAGCAGATGGCAGGGTGGAAGGGCAAGGTCAGCATTGGGCTGTGGGTGGGGTCAAAGTTAGGGCTGGGCTCAGCGACCTCTGCCCTGGCCCCCAGATGACCAGCATGGCTCTGGCCAAGGCCTTTCACATCATCGCGGTCAGTGGCCCAACGTGGGACCAGGTGCCCCCGTTCCAGTGGAGCTCCTCGCCTTTCAGCGGCCTGCTACACATGGGCCAGCCTGACGTCTGGAAGTTCTTGCCCATTGAGATCTGGTGGGACTGAGCCGCCTCCTCTGTGCTGCTGACCCCCAGCAGGGCCATCTGCCGGCTGCCGCCCTGACCTCCTGCCTGCCCCCTCCATGGGCCTTGTTCCCTGCCAGGTCTGGGACCTGGGTGTGCCAGGTTCCCTCTTGTCTGGGTCGTCTCCTGGCTGGGATGTGGAGTCCAATGGGGCCCAAAACTGAGTCGTTGGCTCCCCTTAAGTGGGGGGATGCCGCCCCTGCTCCTTGCCTCTCTCCTCTACTCTGCTTGTCTCTCTCCCCTGTGCTGGGGCCCTGTCCTCATGCTGCCCCCTCTCGAGGGTTTGGGAGGGGTCCTTGGATGGGACTTGGGACCCCTGGGAGAGCAGGAGGGGACCATTCCAGTCCCTGCCTCCAGTGTCATTCCGGCCCGTGGCTCTGGGACTTGGGGGTTTCAGCCCTGAGATCTGGGTGTTGCCTCCGGTTGGCATCCGTCCTCCTGTCTCCCAGCCCTAGCCGCTCTGCTCCCTCAGGAAGCAGCCCCCTTGCTTCCCCTTCTGGGCAACTTCCCTGAGGACAGAAACTTGAAAGCAAACAAAAACCAAAGTTTCTGGTGACTTGTGGCTAGAGGGGCCTTCGGGGGTAGACAAGAGTGTCAGCCCCTATGCTGCAGCCTCATGCCCCTTGCCCCCCAACTTGGGCCTGCCCTTGGCCTCAGGGTGGTGCCCACAGCTCCCCTGCTGTAGGAACCAAATTGCAGACTGTGCTGCCATTAAATGAGAGGCCGTGGCCCCTGTGCTGTGTTTTTTGGGGCAGTAGGGAAGGCTGGGCTGGGTCCTTTCTCCTCTCTGGCTTTGGTTCTACACCATCTACCCATGCATTCTCCTGTCCATTCTTCTGTCTATTCATTTATTCACCTGCTAACTCACCCATTGTCCATCTGCACAGTCATCCATCCACCTACCCAACCGTCTCTCCACCCATCCATCCACCCACCCACCCGTCCAGCTGTCTGTTTATCCACCCATCCATCCATAGAGCCATCCATTTTCCATCCACCCATCTATACATCTCTCTTTCATCCATCCACCTGTCTACCTATTCATTCATCTATATCCGTCCATCCAGATGTTCAGTGAGCACCTACTTTGCTCTGGGTGCTATCCCAGGGCCTTGTTAACCAACAAGACTTTCCCAAGTTCCACTGTGGGATACAGGCCAACACGAAACAGAATCTGTCACCAACTGATCTTAGCCAGCTGGTCAACCCCAGTCCTCGGCGCCTTGGCTCTTAATAGTGGTCAGAGGGGTCTGCCTGCCTTTTTGGGGGGTTTTGTGCTGAATCAAGTGGGACAGTCGAGGCTGGAAGCAATCCTGTTCTGGGAAGGTTTCCCTGAGCTGAACACTGTTTCAGTCCTACTCTGTCCCGTAGGAAGAATTCTGAGGCCATCCCCTATAAAATACACGTCTGTCTCCTGGCTGGAAATCTGTGCTTGGGGCTGCGTTCAGGCGGGCGTGGGGCAGGTTTTGCAGTCTCCCCTGAGTCTCACAGCCCCTCTGTCGGGGTGGGTAGGGGCTCTGCAGGCCCGTGTGCATCTGCATCATGTCCTGAGGGGCTTGAGGGGTCTCAAGCATCACTCTGGGCTGTCGTGGGTGGTGTGGTGGTGGCCCCGCCAGGCCTTGAGGAACCCGACAGGCCCTCTTCTACTTTGCTACACCACCTTCAGCACATGTTCCCCGTGGAAGACTGCATTTGATGTTCTGAGAGGGTTTGTGTGACATTCATTTCAAGTTCACTCCTTCCAAGTCCAGTGGGTGTCCAGTGTCAGTTTACATACCCCCAGAGATGGGGGGCTCACTACTCTGCTCCCAGTGGTTCTGTGATCACATCATTCTGATATCAGGAAGGACTTCATGTCAGAACAACTCCAGCCTCATCTGCCTCTCGGGTTGAGGGTTGGTTCTGTCTCCAGGGGAGGCAGCCCTTCCCCTAAATCTCGTTTGGCCTCCTCTCTTGCTTCCTGCTTTCTGCCTCTGGACATGCAAGCCCAGCTGGGAGCAGGGTCCTGGTCTCCCAGGTGCCAGGGGTCAGGGCGCAGGGTGCTCAATGTTGGGAGCCAGGGCTGCAAGCAGGCAGGTGGGGGGAAGGGAAGGGGTGAGGCAGACAATGATGAAGGAGCTCAAAGGATCTTTGTTTCATAAATATATTTTTTTTCTTTTTAAATGAAAAAATCAACAATTAGAAAACTGACAGGGCGGGGCCGGGCTGGGCTTCCTGTGGGGAGAGGACAGATGGTTCTCAGTCTGGGCCCACTGCCCTGTGCGCCTTCCAGGGAGGAGGCCCGTCCTGCAGTGGTCCCGTCCCTCCTGCCCTCCCTGCTCCGGGGACCTGGTATGGGACACACGGGCGGCTGTCACCTAGCCATGGTGGCTAGGGACAGAGCCGCTGCACAGGTGCCAGAGAGGTTCAGTTCACAGCTTCGCTGGCTGCCTACCCGGCTCCGCCTCAGAGCTGCAGCCTGTTGGCAGGATGGGCTCGTGGGAACCAGGAGGGAACCGACTGGTCCGGGCCACAGGCTCACAGGCAGACGCAAGAATAATATTTGCATCGAGGCCTGGATAAAACTCCAGCCCCTCCAGGGGTCCCCTGGGAGTGGAGGCAGGCAGGCGGGGGCCCTCACTTGGGCAGCCCGTTCATGCCCAGCTGTTCCTTGAGGGCCCGCAGCTGGCTCAGACTGATGTTGCTGCCCCCGCAGACAATGACCACGAGGGAGGACAGTGGGGCCTGGAGCTTCCCCTCCCCTTGCAGCTTCTGCACCACGCGGCTGTACACGGCGGCCAGGGCTGCCCCGCAGGCGGGCTCCACCAGGATCTTCTCGTCATCTGCCGGAGGAGGGGTGGTGAGGGTGAGGCCTGGGTGCAGGCTGCAAGGGAACGGCAGGGCCGCAGACTGGGTCCGGGCCACACCTCCCGTCACTATGCTAGATTGACCTTCCGAGGCGAGGTCTCATCTCGAGTGCTCGCACTGATGAAATGATTGTAACTGCCCAAGCACTGTGTTGAGAAGGCTTGAGTCATCATTTGAGCAAGACTGCTGTGGTTGGTCAGCCCAACTGACTGCTGGCACAGGAGATAACTGGCAGTGTTAGTGCTACCTTTGTGTGTGTGTGTATGTGTGCACGCGCGCGTGTGTGCACGCGCACATATGCATGCACCCCACCCCGTCCTAGACTGAACCTAGGAGTCCAGCCTAGTTACAGACCTATTTCTGAAGCCAACCCCGAGGCCTGTATTTTCCTTTTTCACCCTGGCTACCAGGAGGCTCACAGCATTTTAAACAGTTATTATTCCCTGCTGTCATGGTTATCAGGTTTCTTCACTTGTGGTTTTGGCCTTTCTATTTTTACTGCTGCATTGTATTATCTTTCATAGTGGGAAGTTCTAGGAAGGGATGGGGAGATAGGATGATGAAGAAGATTTACAGCGAATGGGATCTCTTAGGCCACTGAGCAGACAGCCAGTTAATCCCCACGCCAGGGGGTCAGGTCTTGAAACATACCCACGAACTTCTCAATGGCGGCCACAGCCTCCTGGTCCGAGATGACTTCAGAGAAGATGGGGTGTTCCTGAAACAGCTTCAGGGCTTGAGCCCCCACAGTCTTCACGCACAGGGCCTTGGCCACACTGGGAGAGGTGGGGATAGAGAAGAGGACGGGAATGGGGCAAACAGGAAGCAGGAGAAAGATCCTCAAGCAGGATCCATGTAACTCCAGGACTTGCACTCCTAATCAGTGCATTCACTTTCTCCCCTCTCTCCCTGGAGTCATCACCGGTTCTATTCCCAGCTCACTGGGGAGCCCCTGGGGCCTGAACCACCTTAGCCCTAAGCCCAGCATGTGGCACATGGTAGGCACGCGACAATTATCCTCAATCCCAACCCTGCAGGATCAGAGCCCAACATGGTAGCTCCCAGGTGCCAGGTTCAGGAACCCAGAAGTTCTTAACCCGGGCTCAGTCTTCCCTGTCTGTGGTAAGGACTTGTCTACCCAGTATCCATCCTAGCTGCATGTGGAGACGTGGTAGGAAGATATTTCCCAGCCTCCCTTGCAGTAGTCGTGGCCACATGACTAAGTTCTGGCCAATGAGAGGTAAGTGGAAGTACTGTGCCTGTCTTTATTTTTTTTTAAAGATTTATTTATTCATGAGAGACACAGAGAGAGGCAGAGACACAGGCAGAGGAAGAAGCAGGCTCCCCGCAAGGACCCTGAGGCGGGACTCGATCCCAGGACCAGGATCACGCCCTGAGCGGAAGGCAGACGCTCAACCGCTGAGCCACCCAGGCGTCCTCTATGCCTGTCTTTAAAGGGAGGGGGCTCCTCCTGCCAGAACGAGCATGGGTGTGATAGTCGGCACATGAGCAGCTATTTTGGGCCATAGGGCTACATGATAAGGACGGTAGAGAACAAACGCAACGAACCTGGGCCGCTGGCTTCATGGAGCTGCCCTGGACTGCCTACCTCTAGGCTTTTTTTTTTTTTTTCCACTTTATATAAGAGAAAGTAAAGTTGAATCTGGTTTAAGTCACTGCTCTTTGGGGTTCTTGTATAATGTGCCAAACCTAATCTTAAGTATCATCTCTCAAAGGTTTGGGGCTGGGATATGAGCTCCTGGGGCCCGGGGCTGTGTTTATTCACCACTCTGTCCCCAGGATCAGCACCGCTTGCACATTTTAGGGGCCCAGTAAATGGTTGACAAATCAACGAGGTGTGTAAAACCCTGATGCAGGAAACTCAACGTAGACTCGGTCGCGTTCAGTCCCAGCAGTACCACTTGCTGGCTTGTGACTCTGGGCAAGTGACCAAAGCCTCAGTTTCCTCATCTGTAAAATGGTACTGACATGGAGGTGGTCTGTCTACCTTGCAGCCAACACCGAGGCGGGCTCCCCAAGGCTTACTGAACACCGACAGAGGCAGGCCCTATGCTCACCTGGTAACCTGGGGCAGGGAGACCAGCTTGCCGGCAGTGGTGGCAGCGTGGAAGCTGTGGGCTCCGGCGGTCTCCATGGCGATGACAGGCACGTCCCCCCAGCCCACCTCCTGCAGCCCCTGGACCACTCCACACAGCAGGCCCCCGCCGCCCACTGACAGCGCGATGGCCCCTGGCTTTGCACTCAGGGTCTCCTTCAGCTCCTTCACGATGGAAGTGTGGCCTTCCCTGGGGAGGGGGGGAGGGGGCACAGGTCAGGGCTGGGCTCCCTGGAGACACCACGCAGGGGTCCTAGAGGTGCCACCTGTCCTCCTCCCAGGCAGCTGATGGGCTTTGGGCTAGTTGCTTGCTCCCCAACTCCACCCCGACTTCCAGCTGCCAACATCTGCATGACTACCCAAGGGCTTTCTCTGGCCACGGGAGCTGCTTACAACTGTGGCAGGAGAGGACACCCCCAGAAAGCAGCTCAAACAATGTCTGCGGGAGTCCAGAACGGTGGCAGTTGGTGTATAAACCCCAGCACGCTCTCCCGCAGGTGGAATAATTCTGGTTTGGGTTCCACGTTGGCTCCCAAGGGCCCCGAGTGGGCCCCCAGCGGTCACCTGCCCATGAGAGCCCTTTACTGGCTCCCTTCCGGCCTCGGCTCACCTCCCCTTTCTCTAACGCCACCTGTACGAGGGGACCCTGGGCTCCACATACCAGATGAGGGGGTCGTCGAAGGGAGGAATGTACACCCAGCCAGGGTTGTTCTTGGCCAGGGCCTTGGCCAGCTCGAAGGCCTCATCCAACATCTGCAAGACCAGAGGGAGGTTGGAGGGGGTGAGGGGCTGGAGACCCTGGCCAGCCACCGGGTGCCCTCCGCGGCCCCTGCCCTGGGTTGGTACTCACCTCACCCACCACCTTGACTATGGCACCCTCATTCTTGAGCCGCTCAATGGTGAGGGCAGGGGTGGTGCTGGGCACAACGATGGTGGCAGGGATGCCCAGCTTCCTGGCAGCATAGGCGGCTGCCATGCCTGCATTGCCCGCTGCCAGGGATGGGGGTGGAGAGTATGTCAGTGCAGGAAGGCCTAGGAGCCCAGCTGGGCCTGCTCACCCCCAACCCTGGGGCTCTGCACACCTCCCTGAGTGACAGCTCACCTCCCCCGCCCTGAGTTCCAAATTGGGGCCGCTGCAGATGTTTGTAATGGCTCATTGCTACGGAAACCAAGGTCCTGGGGAGGGGGCGGGGGGGGGTGTGCCTGGCCTGGGACACACAGCAGGGCACAGGAGGAAGCATGCAGGCCACTCACCCGAGGAGCAGACGAAATGTTCACAGCCTTGCTCAGCCCACTGTGGAGACAAGAGGGGAGGTCAGGCCACCGCCCAGACAGCTCTCCTGTCCGGAGTGCTTCCCAGTGATTCCAATACACACCGGCCCCTCTTTCCTTCACAAGGACTTTGTATTGCCCTAGCCTCTCAGATGACATCGCCCCGCCCCGGAGACTGGCTCAGGGAAGGGTTGGGGTGAGGGGAAGCAGGCAAATGATGGCTCTGGGCTCAGTCCATAAGGAGACCCCCTTGGGTGGCCCCCCTTCCTAGAGGGAGTGCTAATGGCAGATACAAGGGCTTTGTGAGAGTGAGCACACAACACTGGCCTTGTCCTTTGAGGATAAAGGACGTGCCACCCTCACTCAGATGCTGCAGAGCCCTCCTGTACCATCTTGCAGAGGTGTCCAATGCCCCGGATCTTGAAGGAGCCTGAAGGTTGGGCACTGTCCATCTTGAGGTAGACGCTGGTGCCTGCCACTTTGGACAGCGACATGCTGTCACGGATTGGGGTCTTCACGTGCAGGGGCTCTCCAGGCGTCATCGCTGGGAGGAAGGAAGGACACCCAGATGGTCAGGAGAGCCAGTCGCTGCCATACAGCCCTCAGTGTGCCTCTGAGTGACTCCTCCCCTCACTGCCCACGAAGCCGAGGAAAAGAGCCCAGATGAGGAGCATCCTGGAGACCTGAATTCAAATCTCAGCTGAGCCACCTACGTACCAGGTGACATCACACAACCAATCCCCCCTCTGCCTCAGCTGCCTCATCTGTAAAATGGGGAAAGGATTCTTACCATCACCACCACCGCCACCCACCCCATGCACACAGCATGCTGGGAAGCTGTGAACATTAGAAATAACATTCAGACCTTGCACCTTTCCAGGGGCAGGAGATGGAGATGGATTTGCAGGTGCTGATTCAGAGTGAGCTTCAAGATGCTTAAGTGGTAGTGGTAAAGAAGGGGCAGGATAGCAGAGAGAGTCTATTTGTGAAAAATATGGGGACACCCCCACCATGTACATAATCCATAAGCTTCTGTGTGCATAGGCCATCTCGGGAAACACAAGAAACTTGTTAGGGCAAGGGGCTTCTGGGGAGAGCTGGCACTCAGCATCCCTTTTGTACTGTTTGAATGTTTTGTCGTGTTTAGGGATTATCTGTTTAGATACATGCATTTTTTTTCATACTAACCTTTGGAAAGCCCCGCACCCAGTTAGAGAGACTTTTTATAATCATTATATTATGTGATAATCACTTCTAAAGTGATCACCACGTGCCACACAATGTTTTAAGCCTTACAGATATTAATTCATTTAATCCTTTTAGCCTTCCTAGGAGGTGCCTTATCATCCCATTCTCCTGATGAGGAAAAAGGCTCGGATTGTGTTTCCCGGGATGGCCGCTGCAAGCTCTCCCCATCCCACACGCATCTCTTATGATGCGACTGCTTTTCTCAGTGAGAGGTGGGGTCTGTGCTTCCTCCACATGAGCCCTGGAGGGGCAGAGGGTGTCTGTGGCTGCAGTGACACTATGTGGCTTCCAAGCAGCAAAGTGCTGGTAAAAATGTTTACTCTCCAAGATAAAATAAAGCCCTGATTTGTAGTGTGTGCACCTCTGTGCTGTACATAAGCTTCACCAAGGCCGCATTCACACTACCAACACGATGTCATGAGTGTGGAGCTGGGAAGAGATGGCACAGTCTGCTTTCCAGAGCCTGTGTGAGCCGGCTTCAGGGCAGCCCCGCACCCAGGGCTGGGTCACAGAAGGGGACACAGCCTCCACCTGGCTATTTCTCTTGAGCAACTCTCTCCCAAAACCCAGCTGCCGTGAGACGGGTAAGCCTAGGCCTCATGCAGAGGCCATATGGAGGTGCCCCTACCTGACAGCTGATGGCCAGCGTCACTTGCGAGACGGGTAGGTGTCTGTGTGTGTGTGTGACCTTGGGACATCACCAGCCACTGTCACACTGCAGCCGCCTGAGAGAGTCCAGCGAGAACTGCCTGCAGAGCCCAATTAAGCCCCAGAGCCATGAGACAACAATACAATGATTGCTGTTGTTTTTGGTCACTATACCTTCGGGCAGTTTGTCACATAGCAATAGGGATCGGAATATTAATGTGACTTGCCCAAGGTCACACAGCTAGTGAATGGGGGAGGCAGGATTTGAATTCAGACAGTCTAGCACCTGAACTAAGCTGTCTCCAGGACACGTGGGCATGGCTCAGGCCTCCCGGTCTGGACTGACTCTGGGTGATGAAGAAGCTGCCATGGCCAGAGTCTGGCCACATTTTTCTCCTCTTCTTCTGATTCTCCCCAACTTGGGCTGAACCAGAACTGATCTGCAGATGGTTGGGTAAGTCACCTCTCTGGTCCCCCACCACTACCACCTCCCCCATCCCACAAGGCCAAGCAAGACTGGATCTCTCTTTCTACCTCCCACCCTATTTCCAATGACACTACCTGGTGCCGCCCTAGCTCTTGGCCATTGCCACTCCCAGACTGGGCTAGATATGCCTTGGTCAGAAGTAAAGTGAGGGGTAGGCTTCTTGACCACTCCACCACCCTTAGCACCCCCAAATATGGATTGCTCATGTCTGTCTGAATTAACTGACTTTCGGGGCCTAAGAGAGGTGCTCAACAGATACCATCTCTACTCTAGGATCTCTTGAGCAAAAGCCAGGGACTAGAGGCACTCTATTATGGGAGCATCCCATATCTGTCTGAATTAACTTTAATGAACCTTCTGGAGGTTATCCCTGAAACAAGGGCACCCTCATTCTGACTGAGTGGACCTTGTGCACGTTGCCAAGCCCCAGCCTCAAAGAGCTGTCCTGGCTGGAAGTGGGAGGCAACCCCCACAAGACCCCTTTTGGGTGGATTTGGGAAGCCTCCTCCACCTCTGGTTGCACCATGCAATGCCTTCAGGGGAGGGGTAGGGACCCCCTATGGTCACTACTCCCTCCAGCATAACATCCTGAGGTTTTCCCAAACACAGAGGACAGAGGGTACTAGAAGCTGCTGTCTACCTAATGTTCCCTCCTGGTCAGAAGTCACTCCCCCTCTCACTTGGCTTATAGCAAGAGCTCAATAAAAATGAACTATTATTATATCTGGGCTGGACATTTGATTTTTTATTTTTTTTAAAGATTTTTTAAATTTATGCATGAGAGAGAGGCAGAGACACAAGCAGAGGGAGAAGCAGGCTCCATGCAGAGAGCCTGATGTGGGACTCGATCCTGGGACTCCAGGATCACACCCTGGGCTGAAGGCAGGCGCTAAACTCCTGAGCCACCCGGGCTGTCCATGGACTGGACATTTTAAATGCATGATCTCATTTCATCTTTACAACAGCTCGATGAGGATGAGGAAGGGTCAGTTATTGTTCCCATTTTAGGGAAATGGGAAACTGAGGCCCAGAGCTAGATGCCGACCCAGCCAGTCTGGCTTCAAAGCATGGGTTTTTATGCTCAACTGACTCTACCCCCTCCTCTTCTCCTGGAACCTCCTGGCATTCCACAGGCACTCCAGTCTGGGGTGGGGCTGAGGAGGGGGTACTTACCTGACCAAGGTAGTGAAGCTGGGCCGCCCAGGCAGAGGGAGCAAGCTGAGGAGGGATAGACGGGAGGTGCTCTAGATGTATAGACTGGATAGATGGTCCTCTGACGGATGGAGGTAGATGGACAGTTAGAATGTCTGCTGGATGTCCCAGGGCCTACCGGTCTGGGTCTGGGTCTTTGGTTCCCAGCTTTATTCCCAGGGCGCCGCCCAGCAGCCAATGGGGACCCAGGGCTGGCCACACCCCCACCAGGCCCGCCCCCTGGCCTGTGGCCCTGGGGCTTCCAGAAGGAGAGAGGGAAGCTGGCTGTGCTTTCCCTGCTGGCAGCTTCCTCTCCTCTCTCCCCTCATTCACCCCTTCCCTTCCCCATTCTCAGCGTCTTCACTAGCAAGTGGGAATAATACCGGCTTCCCCAGGATTGTTCCCAAGAGTTTGCAGGGGGATGGTGGGAGACGCTGGACTTTATGTCACTAGCATGTGCTTGGCACAGAGTAGGCACCCAGGAAACAAACCATGGGAGGAAGTGGGTCCTATGATCATCCTTGTTTTACAGAAAGGGAGGCTGAGACCCAGACAGTAAGAGACGTGAGCAGGTATTTGAACCCAGTGGGCCTGCCTCAATGTGAATTACCTTCTCCTGTCACCCTTTGTTTCTTTTGTCTTGAAGGGGCAGATGGCTTAATGGGTATGACCCCGGTGGCTCAGGGTTCAAATCCTAGCTCTGCCATTTACTAGCTGTGTGGCCTGGTGCAGGTCAGTTTGCCTCCTGGAGCCTCCCTTTGCTCATCTGTAAAATGGGGATGAAAATGGGATGTCCCTCCTCGGATTAGATGGCATGATAATGCATGTGTATGTACGGGGCCTGGAACTGAGCGAATGTTCGGTGTTAGCAGCCATCATCATCATCATCTTCATCGTCACATGCACCTGAACTCACTCCCTGCCCCATGCCAAGCCCCCTGTCTCTGGCTGTGTGCAGGCGTCTGTTTGTCCACAGCAGTGGTGTGCCCGCACACATCTGCTAGGATCTTTTTCCTGCTTCCCTCAACAAAGCCCTTTTGTCCCACCAGCCAGGATGAGAATAGCAATGAGACAGAAGGCAGTGAGGGCACAAACAGCAGGCACCACTGTCCCTCTCCGTGGGACAAGCTGAGCTTCCGCAGGCACTCCCAACCCCCTCCCCAGTGGGACGTCTACGGGCATGTGCTGGAGAAACAGGGTGATAGAACTGAAGCCGTGTGGGCATCGAGCAGTTTCCACGTAGACACAGCTTCCCTGTGTGCATCTGAGTGTATACAGTCGGCACTCACGTTGCCTGAGCGTCTGCTTGTGCCCGATCCCCTGCCAAGGGTTGCTGTGTGGGGTCTCACTGAACTCTCGAACCACCAGGTGAGTGGGCATCTTGAATGCCATGTGCACAGGGGACAGGTCAGGAATTCTGAGTCCTTTGCCGACACAGGGCTGAGGAGAGGGTGGAGGTGGAGGCTGGGGGGCCGGGTCATCTGGCCCAGCTTGGTCACATTCAGAAGACCCAGATGTAGGCTTTGGGTGCTATGTCCACGTGCGGTTATCCACGCAGCCAGGGGGACGACGGCTCTCTCATAATGTTGGATTCGTCTCCTCTTCCGAGTAGCAGCTGGGAGTGACTCTGGGGTGGGAGGGCAGGGAGTGGCAAGGGTGGAAGAGGACGATTCCGTCCTTCCTAAGACCTCTCCATATTGTTCCATTTGTTTCAACAAGAATGCATCACCTTCGTGATTCAAAAACTGCCACATTAAGAAAACCAATCACTTAAAGACCAGAAAGAGGGAAGGCAAAATATACATCCCTGTTGTTGACATCCTGAGTGTGTCCTTTTTAAAAATAATAACTCTGTTGAGCTATAATTCACATACCAGATACTTCACCCATGTGTGGGGTATCGGTTTTATTTAATTTTATTTTTTCAAAAAGATTTTATTTAATCATGAGAGACACACAGAGAGGCAGAGACACAGGCAGAGGAAGAAGCAGGCTCCCTGCAGGGAGCCCAATGTGGGACTCGATCCCAGGACCCTGGGACCATGACCTGAGCCAAAGGCAGACACTCAACCACTGACCCACCCAGGTGCCCCTGGAGTATCAGTTTTAGAACATTTCATCACCCCAAAGAAACTCCATACCTATTACTAGCTGCTCCCCTGTCCCCCTCCCTGCAGCCCCCCGCAGTCATAGTGGATCCTCCCGTTCTGGACGTTTCATATCAATGGAATCATGTGGCATGTGGCCTTTTGTGTCTGGCTTCTTTCACTCAGTACCATGTTTTCAAGATACATCTGTATTGTGTGTGTCAGTGCTTTGCTCCTTTTTATGGCCAAGTAATATTTTTTTATGGCCAAGTAATATTCCGCTGTGTAGATGTGCCACATTTTTATTACGCAGTCAGCCAGCAGCGAATAGACATTTGCTGTCTGGGCGTGTCATTTTTAAATATATAAGAAATATGCACATGTGCAGGTGCATGTGTGGTTCTGTATCCCATCATGTGGATGGGAACCCAAGGCCCTACAAGGGCAGAGGGCTCACCCAAGATCACCCTGGGGAGCGAATGTGAGTTACAGACAAATGTGGCTGTGCAGGGCTAGGTAGGGGGCCAGGGAATCAGGCTCACAATCCCAAAAATGCTGAGGTGTAAGGAAACCAGAGATAAAGGAACAAGCCAGACCGCCCTGCCCTAGGTGTGGGCCGGAGCGTGTCTTTCTTTATGATAGTCATCTATGACCAACCAAGAATAACCAGCCCGCATAGAAGTAAGCTACTAAAGATGTTATCACTAGTCCTCACTCAATGTCATAACAACAGATATGTTAAAAGGATTTAGGTTCCCGGGTTGGCTTTTGATAAAAGACCAAACCTACAAGCCCTCAGTGGCAACCCTGTCAGGACCCCTCTCACTTCTGAGAGCTTTCTCTATAGCTTTGCTTACTAAACCTCTATTGCTTTACTTACTCTCCTTTGTCCGTGAGATTCATTCTTTGACTCGGTGAGACAAGAACCAAGCTCTCCCATATCAAATGGAGCAGAACCCGGAAGAATGGCCATGTGATGGGGATGTTCTGACCAGGAAGCTGGGGGAGGGTCTTGAGGGAAGGCTGCAGCTGTCACTGTGCACACATCACACATCAGGGGGATCAGTTCGGGGCTGGGAATCCAGCATCCCAAGGTGTGTCAGTTTTCATAGAGCAAGTGAACCACTTTTCTGACAGGCCCACGTTCTAATCCAACTTTTGTCATCAACTTGCTGTGTGACCTTGGACGAGTTACTTGACCTCTCTGTGCCTTAGTTTCTTTAACTGGTAGTAGGGTCCACCTCTTAGATTTGTTACGAGGATTTAAACCTAATTGGTATAAAGTTATATGGCTAGTGTCCAGTGACTTGTGGGCACTTGATAGGTGATGGTCATTTTTATTTTCTGGTATTCAAGAGGACATTTGAGTCTCTAGTTCTGGGTGATGGGGCACAAGGGCTTTTCTATTCCATCTAACCCTCTTTTGAAAGACCTTCAGAAGTAGGTGAGAAAAGTGAAAGTCACCTCCTCCCATTTAGCGGATGGGTAAACTGAGGCCTGGACCTATCCAATGCTGGAAGGTGAGGGCAGAGCCTAATGGGGAGCAGAGGACTACCTGAGGACAAAGCACATTGACAAGTCCTTGAAACAGGCAGAGGGACATTCCTGTAACAACTCAACTGCCTCTATGTTAATACTTTGCTAAGGGCAAAAGGCAATCTTAGACCGCCCCGCAGGATCCTGTAAGCCCTACTGTAACATGTAAAAATTCCTTTAGAAATTTCCTTTATCTCTAAACCCCCCAAGGGGATCCCTGAGTGGCTCAGTGGTTTAGCACCTGCCTTCGGCCCAGGGCGTGATCCTGGAGACCTGGGATCGAGTCCCATGTCGGGCTCCCTGCATGGAGCCTGTTTCTCCCTCTGCCTGTGTCTCTGCCTCTCTCTCTCTCTCTTTCTCCCTGTCTCTCATGAATAAATCAATAAAATCTTAAAAAAAAATAAACCTCCCAAGATACACGTTGGTGATCATCCCCCAAGCACATGGTTCACCGATATACATCTTCAGGGTCTCATGACTCAGGTTTTATTAGACGGTAATAAATGACCTTTTCCCAACAATAGCTAGCCCCCTCAAGGTCCTGGAAACTTGCTTCCAAAATTCCTTAGAGAGTGCGCTATCCCCAAACCCCTCCCAACTCCCAGGTATATAATCAGCCACTCCTCACAGGCCAGGGGCAGCAGCTCTTCCTGCCCACGGGTCCTGTCCCCAGGCTTTAATAAAACCACCATTTTGCACGAAAGACGTCTCAAGAATTCTTTCTTGATCATCAGCTCCGGACCCCACCCCACCAAACCTCATCTGTATTCCAAAACTTCATCAGAGCCCACAGTCCCAAGAGGAGGGGCAGGAGTCTAGCTGGGGGACCTTGGGCAAGTTGCCTCCCTCACCTCTGCCTGCTGGCTCTCTTACATCACACCCTCCCCAGAAGTGTCCCCGAGGATGGCCAGATCGGCGTGTCCTTGGCTGCGGGAGGGAGGTGGGGATTCTGATTGTTTTCACAGCTCTCATCTCTGTTTGCCCACTGTGGCCCCGGAGTTTGATGATTGGTTAAGGTCTCTGGCTCCTGCGTCCATCACACTTGGGTTGAAACGGACACCCAGGTGTGACCTCAGAGAAGTCCCTTAACTTCCCTTCACATCGGTTTCTTGCCTCCAGAAATGGGGATGAATCAGCGCCGTGCCAGTCAGTAAGGGCTCAAAGAATGGTAGTTGCCATTATGATTATCTTTGGTCTCCCTGAGTCTTCTCTCCTTATTCATGTTCCCTCTCCATCAAGTCTGGGTTGGTACCTCTTTGGGATTCTGCAGCCTGGCTGTCCCTGGGGTCTCTTCCTAGGGGCTCGTGACAGGTCTGTACTGACCCCTTCCTTGCTGGATTCCCCACTCTTGCCTCTATCCACTCAACATCCTACCAGGCATAGGACAGCCCCCCACAACAAAGGATTATCTGGCCCCAAATGTCAGTAGTGCCAAGGTTGAGAAACTCTGCTTAAGAGTAATACAGATTGAGACTAATACCTTCCTCATTCTATCTTCTCTACTTC